CAATAAACAGCATCAAACTTACCGGAGTGAATGCCAATGAACATCATCTAACTTACCGGAGTGAATGTCAATGAACTTCATTTAACTTACCGGAGTGAATGCCAATGAACATCATCTAACTTACCGGAGTGAATGCCAATAAACATCATCAAACGTACCGGAGTGAATGTCAATAAACATCATCAAACGTACCGGAGTGAATGTCAATGAACATCATCTAACTTACCGGAGTGAATGCCAATTCTTAGTTTTAATTGTTCTCCTTTTCTGTGTCTTATTTCAAAGTTCTGAATCGTCCCTAAAAGATGTAGGGCCATGGAAGCTACCTCGCCAGCATGTTTGTCCCCATTCCTTAAGGGTAGACCACTCACAACCATGTAGGCATCGCCAATTGTTTCCACCTTGTACACGTCATAGTTGCCGATTATAGAGTCGAAGCACGTGTACAGGTCATTCAGGAGGTCAACCACCTGCGAGATCACAGAGCTACATTCTTGCATCAGTTTATTTTTTTTATGAATAACACAATTTCAAGCCTAATCAATAACACACAAATAAAATCTACAGAAGAGTTAGTAACCTGAAATATCTAGGTTTCTTTCGTCATCGGATGGAAGAATTTTTATTATGATAAAAATAATATAATCTCCTTATTAAAAGGAATCCGAGTTTCGATACCCGTGATGGGCAGAGCACAGATAGCCCATTGTGTAGCTTTGTGCTTAACTTCAAACTAACAAACAAACCTTATTAAAAGGTTATTACGCGATATGATATTCTCCGTTCTGCCTGAAAGAGCTGAGTACTTGTTTCGTCACCAGATGGCAGTAATCTCATTATAACTAACTATCATACAGTAAAATAATTTTAGTTAGGTGTATGAATCTCACCTGTAGAGGCGTGCTGACAGCAGAAAGAGCGGTGAAGCCAACAATGTCGCTGAAGTAGATTGTGACGCAATCAAAACTTTCTGCCTGCACTTGTTCTCCACGTTTCAGTTGTTCTGCTACTGGTCTGTAATAATACTTTTATACGTAAGTTTGATAGGATGTTAGTAAAACATTACATAAAGAAATTTGAAGAACCTGAAGCACTGAGCAAAATTATTGATTGCACAACCTGAAGCTCTGAGCAAGATTATTGACTGCACAACCTGAAGCACTGAGCAAAATTATTGATTGCACAACCTGAAGCACTGAGCAAAATTATTGATTGCACAACCTGAAGCACTGAGCAAGATTATTGATTGCACTCCTTCGTGGCTCTTATAGAAAATATTAAGATTCTATATTCGAAAACCTTAGGCAGCGCCACACAGCTATATTTTTAATTAAAATTTAATTTAAACAGTTCTACTTTGTTTCATAAACTTCGAATTATTGCTATTAAAACACTTTTTTTAATTTGGTTTCATAAACCTTCACATATTTATGAAATTAAAGAACACGTTTCAATTTCAATGATTTGC